CCATGACTAACAAGGGCCCCCCTTGCCCCCCCCCCCCCAATGTCACCCATGGTGCTGACTGTATATAGACTTGCAAGTGTATATTTCATTAAGAATAATTCAATACTAGCCAGCCCATTCTCATCTATAGTGTAACTGTCATTATTTCTGTCATTTCTCTCTATCATCTTGTTGGTTTGTTGTGTCTTTGTGGAGTCTCGTCCCGGGGGAAACCCGTCACCGACATCTCTCCAGACTCTCTTTACCTCTATCAGCTCTCTCTCACTCAGTCTCTTCTGTGTGTCACTCACCCCGACGAGGCAAACAACAGCTCCTTTCTGCTCCTCTTATCACCCGCCGCACAGGGTCAGCGGGTCAGACCGCTACTGAGCATGCTCAGATACACTCGTATCGATTTTAATTTAGCGCCGTACCCCTCGCCATCGCCATGAATGCCAGCTGAAGAGAAGAGAGGGGGCGGCTGGGTGATAGAGAGGGATAGATAGAAGTCTGGTGCGTGCTGAAGAGTTGGACTCCATTCTCTGGTCCGAGTGTGTCTCTTTCAGCCCTTTTCTTTGGGCCTTCGATCTGGCGAGCTGCCGGTGGCCCCCTAGAGGGTTGAGGGGCCGGTGTTGAGAGGGCCTCCTTTGTGGGGATTCACCGGGCAGGACTGACAACACTGACAGCGGTGATAAAAAACGCAGCTTCCCCCCAACGCACACACTCCTGTATTGTCCACGATAGACATGCTGTTCACAATGTGTAACCTTTCGATAGCCAGACAGACTTTAACCCTCTAGATTCTGATGGAAACCAGTCTAAAGTTAATGCTGCGGATGTGTGATTTGTACGTTTAACCTGCTTCCCTTGTGACCTCTATCATAATCATAACTGAATTACCCTGGACTTCCTCAAAGTCACAGATATGATTATGTCAGAAATACAGACTCTGCTGGGATTGTCATATATTCATAAGTCGCAAAGATAATCTAATGTATCACATTTAACACATTTAATTTGAGTTATTTCAGTACTTCAACATACAAAATGGAAATTAAATAATATATATATATATTGAATGTATTTATATATATGTACATGTATATGTGTGTGGCTGTACATACACATATGTAGTTGTTTTTTGGTGTTTGGCTTAGTGTTTTGTTAGAATCATTATTATACTCTTATACGTCTGCTAAATGACTAAAAGTAAAAAGTAAAAGTTAATTTAACCAGTGGTCGACAAAGTAGGAGGAAGACTGGAGGTGATATTAGATTAATTTATACACTATAAATTTATAGCCATTAAATGCACTGTATTATGATTATAAAGAATTTAATGCAAATATAAAATATAAATAATATATCTAGCTTGTCAACCTTATACATATATCATTGAAAATTGTTAAATATCCTATAAATGTTTAATTTTATTTACTTATTTATTTCGTTTCATAATCATTTTTTAACATGCTTTGTATTGTTTATTTCATAAAAATTGGTGTTAAAAACAGGAGAAAAAAATACAATAAATATAATATAAAATAATATAATTAATAAATACTATATTACAACACTACACTATAAATTTGATTTCTTTTTTTTTTTTCTTAAGTCAGGAATTGTCATTTCTACCAAAAGAACTAAAGCAATAACAATAAATATATAAAATAATAAAATAAAATATATACAAATAATAAATAAAGACGTGTTCCATAGTTGTTTTTATGTATGTATAGATTATTTAACTATTTAAACTTATATAACAAAACCTAGTACTAAGCAACAATATTTACCTACATGATTGAGAGTTTTGATTTGATTCACTATAACAGAATGGTGTTAGCTATCAGAATGACCACTGATAAACAAAACAGTGTGTTTACAAGAATAAAAAGTGGAGCTCTATTTGTGTCATCATTCTCAGGGAAGAGAAGGAGCGCTGGATCCGGGCGAAGTACGAGCAGAAGTTGTTCCTGGTGGGGCTTCCTCAGTCAGACGTGCCTCTGGGACAGCAGCTCCTGCGGGCCGTGGTGGAGGACGACCTGAGGCTAGTGGTTGTCCTGCTGGCCCACGGCACCAAGGAAGAGGTCAACGAGACGTACGGGGACGGCGACGGACGTACCGCCCTGCACCTGTCCTGCGCCATGGCTAATGTGGTCCTCACGCAGCTGCTCATCTGGGTAAGAACTCGCTTTTTGAATCCGCCTTTCATTCTCAATTGTCCCTCCATCATTAATTTCATCGTCTATTTCAGTACGGCGTGGACGTGAAGAGTCGCGATGCCCGCGCTCAGACGCCGCTGTCCTACGCTCAGCGAGCAGGAAGTCAGGAGTGCGTTGACATCCTCATCCAACACGGTTGTCCCATGACGCCCACAGCCACCCAACACAATCCCAACATCAACAACAACGCTCAATGCGAGCTGAACCGTAGTGTTAGCATCATGTGATCGTGGCCCGCAGTGTCTCTAGTGTCTCTTCTCAAAGATGTTGATGTTCCCATAGATGCTGCTCTCGTTAAATGGCATCATTTCCCTCAGCAGTACGTCTTTATTAGGAAACTGTGCGTAATGCCACATGTGTCACGTAAACCCATTACCCTCATGACGACTTCCTGTGACCAATGTTAGCGTACGGCAAGAATTAGTAGTGTTAACATTATCAATGCGTGTTATTTTTAAGCTGAAGAAAATTAGGTTTTTAAGGATCCTTTCTTGTGTGTGTATAGAACAAAAAAATGAAATGATGGGCAACAGGTTCTAAAGATAAGTTAGATTTTTTTAAGGTACATCGGTTTAGAAATAATCAGATGACAGTAATGGATCCTCTGCATTGCGCCCACGTGTTTTTGTCCATCAGAACATTAAATTGTGTTGTTACAGGGAAAATTCTGTTATTATTTACTGCCCCCCAAACTTTCTTTCTTCTGCTGAATACACGCTCAAAAAACAAAAAAGATATTTGGAAGAATATTGGTAACCAAAGAGTTTTGGTTCACATCGAAGTCAATGAACAAAACTGTTTGATTACCAACATTCTTCAAAATATGTTCTTTTATGTTGCACAAAACAAATAAAGTCATACAGGTTTAAAATGTCATGACGCGGAGTAAATAATGACAGAATTTCATTTTTGGGTGAACTATACCATTAAATCAGAAATTTTGGTGAAACCTGCCAAAAGTGTGTCTGTGTATTACACCTTAAAGTCAAAAGAAAAAAAATAGCTTTAATACTTACATTTTAAGGTTTAAATCAGGGGGAAAATATTTTTATTTTTATTTTAATCACTACAAAATACTGTATTACAATAACGAGAATAAAATTTAAAGAAATAAACTGAAAAATATATATTGAGAATATAAAATATATAGATGCATTTCAGTAATAAAAAGTGGGGGGGGGGGGGTCACAGTGCAAAAATATTCCTTGATTTTTTTTTTAAATGCAAAATATATTTTATCATTATTTTATTTTGACTTTGAGGTGACCAGGACATGTTCTTGTAAGTTTTACGCAAATATCTATAAATGCTTCATTAAATTGTGATTTTTCTGTTTTATGCTAAAAATCGAACATTTAAGTGCATATTTCACTAAAACTTCACACATTTTATAGGTGTTCTACCATTGTGCCCTTGAACGAAGCTCAGAAACACTAAGGCTGCTGGGTAGAACATTTCCATTTGTAGCATCAGTGCAATATAACAAAACCCAAATCATCATACTCATTGCTATTTTACACTTAGCCTTTACGTGATTGTCTTGGAAGGGCTTGATTGCCTGATGAATACTGTGTTATTGCGGATGCCTTGTGCGAATCATTTCTGCACCGGTCTGAAGTGGTCTTCTAACTGTTTGACACGTCCCTCTCCTGCCTAATGACAGATCCATTCAGTAGCAGCGGACAGGTACCGTCCCGCTAGATTACGAAATAAGACGCTCTCGCCGTTAACTCCTGTGAGAGCGTAGTGTCTAATGACCTCCACACTTGTGACTGTGTGGCTGTTTTTTTATCCATTCGAATCCAGACGTGTGTTTCTAATCGAATGGGATGGTGATGTGGATAATGTACAGATGTGTGTATAAAATAGCTTTTCCTGCTCCCTCTTGCAGCTAGTTGTGTGTCGTGTGGGCAATTTCTGGATGAGATGGCCATTATGTACCCATCTGAAACCTATCAGCCTTAACCCTCGTTTGCTAGTGTGTACGCCGTCAACTTTTGCTTGAAAGATGAAATCATGATTAGAACTTAATTAATATTTGGCACATGTGAGTTAAAGGGAATGCGGTAAAGCGAGAGGGAGATGTTGAACCTCTTTAAATGAGTCCTTACCAGACAGTATTTTAAGTTTACATGATTTTTTAGGCGTTTTACCTTCTAGCAGGTACGTTTTCTTTCTTATTCGTGTCAGATTTGTACATGCAACCCTCATCTAACTAAGCTGTAGGAGAATTGCCATTGATTTTAAAAACAACGTCTTTTAAACCTGTTTTAATTCTGGAGGCTCATTCCCAACAACATGCATGGAAAGTTACCCTCTTGATCGTCATAAAGTGAACATGTATCAACGTTATGATCTTTTTTTTTTTAGATATACGTTGAGTTTGGGCTCCTGTGTATGACGTGAGGTTGCTAAAATGAGCTTTTGGGAATGAGGCAGTTGAAAATGATAAACACTCGCCCGTCATCCCTGCGACTGCTGGGTTATTGAACGCTGGGATGCGCCCATAAAGCTCCTCAAGTAGCCGTATAGCAGATAGAAGCACCGTTTTGTTTTAAAGTTGTTTTTGGTACCTGGTTTTGGGTCTCAATGTGTCCACATTGTCTGGCCGTTAAGGTACTTTGTGTATTATATGTACATTTGACATATTTATAAAAGCAAGATGTAAATAATTCCTTTTGTTGTTGCTTTTATTGAGCTGTTTGATAACTTTGTTTCTTTTAATTTGCCATTGTTTTTAAATGCTCCTTCCGAACATGATGGAGTGCTTTCATGAGAGTTAGCTGTTGTGTGATTGGATGCTTGGCTGGCTATTGACATAATAAACACTCCAATAAAATGATTTATACCATGAATGCTGAGAAATGTTGTCATTCATTCCTTGATCATAAGATTATGTAAATGTGTGACTGCCAAAATGTCTTTACAGCCTTTATTGTGTGTTTTCTCAACTTTCTAAACATGATCATGGAAACCATTTATCATTTTAAAAAATATTTTCATGATTAGCTTTGAGGTCATCAATAGTTAGTCTAGTCATAAAAGCAGACTACACTCTAAAAAATGCTGGGTTGTTTCAACCCAACTTTGGGTCAAATATGGACTAACCCCACTTTTGGGTTAAAAAATTAATGTAAAAATTTAACCCAACAGTTGGGTTAGTCCATATTTGACCCAAAGTTGGGTTGAAATAACCCAGCATTTTTTAGAGTGTAGTTAGCTTTTAAATAGCATTTTTGTGCGCATATTGTGTAGATATTTTGTCAGATTATAGAAGTACACTAGCATTCCTTACTGGGGGGGCAGATTTTTTCCATTGGTTTTTGGATTATTACAGAAAATAAGCTCTGAGACCAACAAAAGTTTGATTCTTACACATTTAGTTCATCATGATAATTTTCACAAATGAAACCAACTTGTATGAATTTTAAAGCCTAAATGCCATTGCCAAAATAAAGCTAAAGTTAGGCTTTAAACAATCAAGTCAACACCACAACTACATTTATTTAAAAATTTTTTTAAAGCATTTGCACTAGAATAGTTTGCAACTGTAAAGCTGTAGAAGCAGACTATGAGTAGCCTAGATGAGTTTACCTGTGCGCTACCTTTGTAGTACCATTTAGCCACTTGTATTTGAGTGGGGTATTTATGCATGTATGTTATGTCTTAGAATAAAAGCCTGTGTTAGCCTACCCAGATTACCAGCGCATTACCAAACACCAATTTAAAAAAAAAACTTGACTTAAGGACGATGGAACCGGAAGTTCAGTAGCTACTACCACCTGAGTGCTTGTGACATAAACAAAGTGATGCCATCTGTATTTTCCCTGGAATATTTTAAATGCATATTTGCGCTGAAAGCTATCGTTTTGTTTACATTAGCATATAGATGCTCAGCTCAAAGCTACCAGACATGGACTAAAAGCCCCCCAAAAAAGTCAATTTTGCTTTCATACGCTGTTTAATTGTCATTTTATGTTTTCTTTCCTTGCATTCTCTCAATCTTGCGTTTATCGCTTGTTCTTTCTCTCCCGTCCTTGTTTGGATTCTCCGCATCTCTCTCTCACTCGCTCTTCTCAGTGCGTTAATTTTCCTGAGAATGCATTAGCTGTAATGAGAGCTGAAGGCCGAGGGAATCCTCCAGGGTTCCATTAATCATGGCCCCTCAGACAGCCAACCTTGATTACAAGTGGCAAGAAATTCATTAGAGCCTTGCCTCTGACAACTTTTATCTCCGCCACTAGCTCTGACTCATTAGGCAGCCAAATTAAGGCTATGATGGCACTGATGAAATTCATCGCTTGTTTATCCTGTGTGATTTGATGCATCTGCCCATACATCAGCGGCGTGGGCGTCCACCAGACACTCCCCAGGATTCAGGCCTCGCGCTTCCCGTCCCTCCTCTTCGAAGACTCGTCCTTCCGCTTCCGGAGAACGGCACGCTGATGAACAGGAATAGCGACCCGTTAATGAAACAAATGCTCGGATATCAATTAAACAATTAATCTAATTGTCATAATGAGAGTGTTCCGCTCTTGACAAGCTGTGCTGGTATTCCCTTCACCGCATCCTCGGAACAGCACCTTGTGGAATTTCTCTGTAGGCTATTTGGTTTGCGATTCATATATAATTTTTTTTTTTTAGTGGCGGTGCTATAATAATTAAAACTAGTATAATTGGCATAATGAGAATGCTAATTAGCAGAGTCTCTAAATGAGGGGATATGTAAATGCAACAGCTCATAGGCATTTACCACTAGCGGTTACTGGAGGCTGAGGCAATTAACTCACACACTCATGTCAGAGCGACATGCTGACAATACAAGTCAAGAAAGTTCAGAGATTCCTCATTAGTTTAGGAGATTGTTTTCTGTGTGCATAATTTATGGGATTGTTTTGGGGAATTGTGTTTCGTGCTTTAAGTGAGCTCCTTTCGTCAAATAAGAACAACTAAATGTAAAGACATGAGCTCTGCAACAGGTGAGCTGGTGTCTTTCAGGTCAGAGTGCAGTTTTCTCGAGGGTGTGGATTCACGTCTCAGTGTTGTTTTCTCCTGCCTATTAGCACTTATGAGAGAAAACAGTTGCTAGTGTGTCATACGTCATGGTACCTTACACTTGGCATCCTGTAGCTGTTTCTAGCCATGAAAGCAGCTTCCAGTTAGCCTACATCCACACTGGTTGTGCCTGATTCGTGTTGCTCAAACGGTCAAACAGTAGAGCATATGCCAGAGTTATGGGTTCGATTCCCAGGGAATGCAAGAACTGATGAATAAAAATGACACCTAAGAAGTCACTTTGAGATAAACATGTCTAACAAATGCATAAATGTGATCCTGTCATGTACACACAGCAGCAGAATATTGTCAGTCTTGTTTCTAACATGATGCTCCAGAGACCGGCATAAACAAAGTATGGCTACTAATAAACAGAAATGACTGGATTATAATGTCTCCAGTTACTAATAATACTTTGGTCAAAAGAAGTCAGGAATCGTTGCTCCCATGAAACAACAACCTGTTGCCATGGTTGGTTACCACTGTATCAATCATCAACCAGTTTGCAGGTGTGAATCCTGTGTTCCGTTCACACACAGAACAGTGATTTAGATTGAAATGCTGTTATCATTCCTAAAACTTTCCGGTGTGTATATGGCCTAAGTCTAGTTTTCTGCTGGTGAGTCTGTGAGACTTAGGCTGGATTCAACTTTTTTCCACCCAAAATTAATGGTGCCGTTTATAAAGTTTGTTACATAGTTCACTTTAATCTCAAAGACGTTTTGTTCCAGCAGCACTTTAATTTTTGTCTCCATTTGCATATTGGCAAAATGTACTGCAGTAAGACCAAAAGCAGCT